CCCCAAAACCCCAAAACCCCATCATGTTGCATTTGAAATAAGTTAATGGTTTATAGAATCAATTAAAAAATAATAATCTTGATTAAAATTCAGCTTTAATCCTTATAGTTATTATAGTTTTTATTTTAATCAGTTAAAATCAAATTTCTCAAATATCAAAGGTAATTATTCCTTTTTATAAAGTTCAATTTTTTCCAGAACAAATTATAATTTCGACTTGATTTAATCTTTAATTACAGGATCAATGTAATTGCCTCTTCCTACCAAATTTTGAAATGAATTTCTTCTTCTATGACTAGATAATGGACTTATACTTTCATCTATTTATGAATAATCCAAATCTGGTAGGCATTGAAGATTAATAAAACATCCTTGCACTGTTAATTCGCAAAGCTTTTGAAGCTCTTTAATAAGATTTTCTTTTTAAATGTCAAAACCGATAATAATAAGATTAATCTTCGACTCAATTGGATTTTTCAATTGTTTTTAATTATATCGGTTAATTCTCTCGAAGCATAAATCCAAGTCAGTTTTATCAATTTTATCATTAACTATAGCAATAATCCATCTTGAAGGGCCCTCAAATCTATTGTGAGTTTGCATTTTTTCTATCTACAGTTGTTGTGAAATTGCCAAATCTAGCGCGGCATGAAGTCTAAAATTTGGTTATTATATTTAAATATATTTAATATTCTTACGAAGATGTGCTACTATCAGAATCAAAAGAAATAAATTTTGTTTAAAAGCTATTCATATATGTCTTTTTGATTATTTTGTTAAATCTTTTCTTTTCTAATTGAAGATCATTATTTTTAAGGACTCCATCATGAAGAGTAATCAGGCCAAAAAAATCTTCATCATCTAACTTATCAAAGACCTAAATAAATTTAGAAGGGTTATTTTTACTTCTTAAACAAAGTCAAATATCTGCTTTTATATAGACATATATTGTCCTGGTTTTTAATGATTCAAAATAACCATCACTGATTTTCTAACAATATAGTACTTAGAGAGTTCAACTTTAAGGCTTTCATAATTTTTAAATATGTTAGTTCTCTATTTATTATATATCAGTAAAAGAGCTTTCAAGCAAAGTCTAGTAATATTTTTGTCTTATTTTACTTCCATAATCATACTTGATTAATAGAGATAAGAAGCTCTATCAAAATTACCCTAGACTAGCTATAAATGAAGTCCAAGTACATAGATAAAATACTAGTTCAAATAGGAGGTTTCAATTACTTTTAGTCCCATTCTCTTATTTTCAAGCATTTTTAATTCTTACTTAGGAATAGAATATTATCTTAATCATTTTATCTATTCTCTTATCTATTTTATAATGCTACTTTCATTTGATATTATACTCTAATAGTATTCTAAGGGATCTTAATCTAATTTGATTTTGCAAATAAAGTAGCATTCGAATTCGAGCCTATTAATCATTGTAAGTGTAATAAAATCTAGAAACTGCTTTTTATCACCTAATTAGCTTATTCCGTTTTAGCATTATTCAAGACTATATTTAAAATTAGATAATAGGCAATTTATTAATCTAATACCATTATATAAAGTTTCTATAAAGTTCTTTATGCTTTTCATCATAGCATAAGATTTTCCTTTTGTATTGCTGTTTTATTTTTCTCAAATATGCTAAGCTTTTATTGTATGACCTTGTGGCAAGTATTAATGATTTCGTCTAAAACGGTAAAATATTGATCATTTATAAATTACTTGATATTCATTGCTATCTTTTGATATACTACTTAAATTTTCCTTTTATTAGGAAATAGCCTCTTCAAAATATAAAAGAGGTTTTTTCTCCTTAAGAGTTAATAAAATACAACCAATGTTATTGTGGCATATTCCTCTTTTTAAAGATTTTTCTCCTAGATTCTTTGCTATTTCATTGTAGTTAAGAATAGCTCTACCATAGTTTCCAAGCATCTAAGCCTGCTTTGCAGTCCTCAGTGTTTTAATAAATAATATGGCTGCTTCAAATAGTTCATTGAGTTCTCTTTGCCTTTTAGTATAAGTGATATCATTCTATATTTTCATTTTTAGAATGATAAAATTACTTAGACAGCCGCTTATTTTCCTATCACTTGTAAATCTTTCGATTCTTGATTCTCCTTGAATTACTCTGACTAATCATGCTTAAGGATCATTTGCTATATCTTTTAATGCAGATCTTCCATTGGATCAAAAATAGAATCAGAGAATTTTTTTAAAATGCTTAAAATCAGTTAATTATCCATAAACTTACAAAATGTGGCCTAATGAAAAAAATCCAAACATTAGTAAATATGGGATCATAAAATTAATAACAAATATTGTCTGGAATTCATCTAGAATTTTTTCTTTCCCTTGATTAATGTACTCAGCTTCGAAAATCTAGATTAAATAAGGAGGAAAAATAATTACTAGTCCAAAGTTAAATTCTTTGTATCTCACTCCACCATTAAAGCTTTTTAGCTTGATTTAGAATTTATTGATAACCATTGCCCTATAGATGTAAAGTGAATATATATACCATTAAGAACGATCCTTCTTGAAATAAGCAATTTAAATATTTTTGTCTTTAAAGGTATCATCAATTTTAAAATTTTTCACAACATTTTCATCTTGTCCAAAGATTATACTTGAAATTTACGATGAAAATTCAGTATAGTTTTTGTTTTTCTAAATATTTAAAACTAAAATTCTTACAAACTATTGATTTTTTTGAAACAAAATGTAATTTGATTTCGCTAGTTAAAAATACTAGTTTGATATGAAATTTTCAACCCTTTAGTTTAAAGTAGGATAAATATCTTTGCAATGAGCTCCGTAGAAACTGGATCCATTGATAAGAGGTGAACAAAGTGTCATTCCTAGTTTTTTATCTTACGCAAATAAGTAAATATCTTCAATCATACTAACTATTTTTCAATTAAACTTTCTAATTATATGTTACAATTTTAATCAGCTTTTTACTGCACATACCATCCTCTACAAGTTGGGCTGTACGATTTCAAAATTTTATTTTCAGCATATCTGGTTCTACACTTTGAGTCAGGATGATTAGTTCCATTCCAAATTTAGTTGCTCTTAGATGGATGCATACAATAAATTTCACTTTCAAATCCGATATACGTTTCAGCTTTCTCAGTCAACAGCAAAGATGCATTATTTATAGCTTGAAAGAAGAAATAAGAATAACCGCAATTTTTGATATCGGCTTTTTAATCTTGACCAATTTTGAATTATGGAAATTAATTTCTATCAAAAGGTGTATAATACCAATCTTATTTTGACGAATCCACTGGATATTCAGGCTGCTAAATTGATTTTATAGTTGCATCTACAGTAATCATAGAGGAAAAGCTATCGAATTAAGGATTCATTGTTTGATTATTCAACTTTTCATAGAAATATTTTGCAATTACTTAATCGTTTTGGATCTGTAACGTAAAATGAACAGAGATTAATATTACAAATTAAAGTCCAACTTTGATGTTTTGTGAAATAGTAAATGATGTATCGCTCATTTTGTTGAAGTATATCTTTAAAACTATATATTGTTAATACAACTAAAGTACTGAAAGGATTGAATTTCTCTTATATTATCTAAGTCATTCTGAACAATGTAAAAAATGACCATGCGAATAGAGAAATAAGATATAGTCCAATAGATACAAACAAGAATTTGTGCCTCAATTTATGCATATTTAAATATAATGATTAATGGGGTTAAAGCATTAATAAAATGTGAAATATGGTCATTTTAAATCTGATCAGAACTCTTATAATAATTTGTCTCAATTGGGGTTTTGGGGTTTTGGGG